CCGAGATCGGCCCCCGATGACCTCGGCCCCCAGAGTGCGTCCAGGACCACGTACGGCGGCCCCGGCGTCGAGATGCAGGGAATCGATTTCGAGGCCGCCGTGGGCCGCAAGCCTGACGAGGAGCCGACGACCAGCACCAACGAAGACGACGCCGCCTCGGACGCCGAGAGCGAGGCGTCGCAGAAGAGGGAGGCGGACGCCGAGGTTGGGGAGGGTCCCGCGCCCAAGAAGCGCAAGGACGGAGACGGAGACGAGGACATGAGCGATGATGGCACCGAGGACAAGACGGAGCAAGTCGACAGCGCGAAGGAGGTTTGAAGGAATGTCTGTTTTGGAGGGACGAGGGGGGGGGGGCTTCACTCGAGGGGCACCACTGGATCCAGAACGGAAGACGAAAGATACCAGGATCAGCAGGGCCTTGACAATGCGAGACTTGGGAACGATCAACATGAAACGGCTCGTCCATGAAGAGCGGCACAGACAGAACTACACGAATGCAGCAAGTCAAGAGATGTCTTCACTTTCACCATGTATTCGTGAGCGGCACTCTGGACCGCATGCTAAATTATCATGCCCACCGAAACGCCATGCTGTAGAGTCACATCTCGACAATCTTACACGACCTGCACACACATGACCTGTACACACATGCATTTACAGCACCCTCGTAATGCTCTCTCGCGAAATAACGCTGCATTGCTTGTCGTCACGCTTCACGCGGAAGAAGCTGTCGCAGAACTCGCTGCACCGCATGTGTCGGAGAAACTCCTCGTCGTGGGTGATGACGATGAGCTGGAAGTTGCTCTGCGCCTGGCGTGACTTGATGATGTGATGCAAGCTCTCGGCGAGAGACTTGATGTTGTCCTTGTCGAGGTTGGTGGTCGGCTCGTCTAGTGCGATGAGGCCGCAGTTGACGCCGAAAGACTCCGCCAGCGCGAGGCGGATGATGATACTGGCGAGCACCTTCTGGCCAGCTGAGCAGCGCCCGCGCATGTCCATCTCGGTGTCCTGCTTGACCATGCACACGCGGTAGTTGTACGAGCGCCGGCCTGTGGCACCTTCGTTGTCGGACCGAATGAGAATCGTATCAATGTCGGTACCTTGGTATGTGCTCTGCCACAGCTCGCCAGCGATGCGGTTGACTTCTTCCATCTTCAGGCCGTGGTACTGCATGATGGCCTTGTCGAGTGCGGCGCCGTAGCGACCAAGATCCTCGATCGCCGCCTTGGTCGTCTCGACCTTGATGTGGGACTCTCGATACTTCTTGGAAGCGTCCCGGTAGTCCATTTCCCACTCGCCAAGAAGTCGCGCAAGCTCCTCGTCCTTGGTCTTCATCTGGCCCATGAGAGAGCCGCGTTCGGCTACTAGCATGTTGTGACGGTTCTCTAGTTGGACCGCCTCGTCATTGAGCCGGTCGTAGTCGTCATCGGCGTCGCAGGATTGGAGATCGTCAATCTCAGCGCGAAGCACGTCGAGTTGACGCTTGTTCTGGCGGAACTTCAGGTTGTTGCTGATGTTTTGCTTTTTCCGGTCGCCATTATCGATGTCTTGCTTCAACTTATTCGTCCGGACCGTGAGATCGGATATTTCCTGTTCCGTGGCCGCAATCGTCTTTTCAAGGCCATCAATGGCGCGCTGGTTCGCGGCGAGATTCGAAGGCCCCCCACGGTCCATGTAGTCCTGAATGTCGCTTTCGACCATCTTGAGTTCAGTAACCGAGTTGGCAACCAAATCGCGCTCCTCTACGATGGCCTTTTCTTTCGCGCGGCCGCGCTGGAGCGTATCATCCCGCACTGCGCGAGCCTCTGCGATTGAAGGCTCAATGACCTCCAGATCTTGGTCAGCCTTCTGAATGAGCTCCCGTTGATTGGCCTGGTCCTCTTTCAAAGTTTGGATCTGGTTCTGGAAGTCCTTCTTGCGCTCCAATTGACTCTGCACCCTGCTGAGCTTGTTTTTCAACTCGCTTTTTTCTAGTTCTAGGCTGTTGAGCTGGTCTCGCATCCTCTGCCGGTCAGTTGTGATCTTGGTGAGTCGAGCTTTCGTCGAACGCATCTGCTCTTTGCAGGTTGCCTGCAGCTCATGTATTTCATCTGCAGTTCGCGTAGCCATGCCAGATGACTGTTGCGACATGATCCGCTCAACCTGGGCCTCGGAATCCTTCATGTCTTTGAGAGTCTGCGAGATGTTCATGACTGTCTTATTCAAGGTCTCAACGTCGGCCTGTTTCGCCTCTTCGGCATTGACATTCTCATCATGCTCTTCAAGCTGCCTCTCGTGGGTCTCAAGCTCGGCCTCAAGAGTTTTGCACGCTTCTTTCAGACCTGGTAGCTCGCCTAGTGACCGCTCGTACGTTTCGTGATGAACTCTGACTTGCCGCAACTTATCGAGCGTCGCCTTGGACTTGTCGAGATCCTCACTGGCCTTCTCTTTCTTCGAAGGGTCAAGATACTTGATAAGCTTGTCCGAGAAACGCGACTTGTTGACGCTCTGTTTGTCGTCGAAACCTCTGTCACATAGCTTGCACTTGTTCTTCTTGGTCAATGTCTCCTGGCATTGCTTGTAGTAATCAGACAACGCCTCCAGAAGGCTGATGTCCGTCGAGTAGGCCTCGACATCCTCCTCAAGAAGTTTGACCTCCTCAGCATAGTCGTCGATGGTGGCCTCATCCCTGATCTGTTTTAAGACGTCGAGGACCTTGTCATGACAGCGAGAAATCTCGTCTGACTTCTTTTGTTGCGCGTCCCGCGCTGATTTCAGGCTGAAGTCAATTTTTTGTTGCTTCTCGCGTGCCATGTCCCGTTTTTGCCGCGTCTGTGCAACAAGCTGCGACTGTTTTTTGAGCACTGATTGGAACTGTGGTTCAATCGTCTCCGCCTGCCACTCACTGCCGATCTGTGCGTCAAGCTTCTCCTTCCACGTGCTTGTGAGAGTCTCCAACTTTCTCTTGCGGGCAATCAGCTCCTTTTTTCCGGTATTCCAGCTGGGCTCCCTCGGAAGCTAGAAGCGAGCCCCATCAGCTCTGGCCCAGTTTGGCGGTTTTCACTCTCAATTGAAA